CGCGGTTAACCCGATTCCGGTAATACTTGAACTGAAAGGTATTTCCACCGCAGAAGGCAGCTTGACGCTTCCTTATAAGCTCTTTAAATTCTGCAGTAATCCATGGAGGATCGTGTACATGCAAAGCCGTTTTCTTTATTGGCATAATGGTGCTAATACCAAGACGTACTAACTCTTCGAAATACTGGAGTTTCATTTCGCATGTGTCAAAATGATTCAGAGAGGACCAATCGATAGATGTAAGGTATCTTCCAAGCTCATGCCTTTTACTAGATCGTAAATCTCTACTAGAGATAATTCTTCTACTGCATGACTTGCTTTCTCTTTTGCAAGGATTGACAATCACAACATTATGATCTGAAAGACCAAATGGCGGAAATGTTTCGACAGAGTTCTTATCATAAAACGAATGTAAGTTGGTTATTATTAGATCCAAAGTCTGGTTGGCCCTTGTGGAAACGTTAACAATCTGTTTGCAACTGAACTGTGTTAATATCAGATTGCATTTTAACCGATTAAAGTCGCCTGCAAGAATAAACCCACAGCCAGGATACGTGCTTTCAATAGTAATCAGTGATGTGGAGAGAAATTGGAGCATTTCATCATCATTAGCATTAGGTGGATGGTAAACGACACCAAGTATCAAGCAGGAAAACCCGCGGGGAAGTCTACTTGGACGAAAATAGACCCACAGAACTTCGTAATCTGTATGGTGGAGATGATTCAGAGGCTTATAAAATATCGTGTTCCTGATGTACACCCCAACCCCTCCGTGGGAGCCCACACTGCGGTTTTTATGAACAAAATTGTAACCCGGAATATCGAGGCAGGAATCTGAGATACGGTCGTTTAGCCATGTTTCCGTTATACAGGCAAGGTCAGGACTCTTTTCTGTGACAAAACAACTCACTTCATCAATTTTGGGAGCTAATGACATCGTATTTGTCAATAGTAGGTTCGGAACGTAGAAATAGTCATTAGCATTGGAAATAACAGTTTTATTAATGTTAATTTGAATAATATTATTTAAATTACGTTGTCCGCGATGAATTGAAGTAGGGCGACCTGATAGGGAAAAATCATGTTCTAGTAATAATACTGGAAAAACCTCATATTGGCTTTCCATTTGTCCTTGCAAAAACCCTCCTCAGTCTGGTTGATTCTAGCGCCATGTTTATTTCGTCGCCACGTCGATTTCTTTGATGGTGTTCTATGGGTAACGCGAGTCGGGATGGCATAACAGTTAGTTAATTCATGTTGTGATGGTTTGTGTCGTTTTGCATTGTCGTTGCTGTTCTTGTCCGAAATTTCCGTATATTTTGGGAATTGACTTACTTGACCAGCATGTTTTTGAGGCTCCTGCTTATCAACTTGTTTTGGTGGTATTCGAGGGTTAGGTGGTAATTCTTGAGATGTGATATATTTATTAGTACAGGTATTCTCTTGAGTCGGAGGCGCGTGTCGATTTCTAATGCAATTAGTGCTGAGTGTCTCCATAATAATGCAGGAATGATCATGACAAAGCCCATTGTCAGTTTCTTTACTCTTTTGTTCTAACTCGTGTAGGTTTAGTGCCTGTTCGAGTTGTAAGATTTTTGTTTCGGCAACCGTTCGCTCAGATTCAAGTTGCTTGGTTTTATCTTGTTCATCATGCAGTTCCCTTTCAAGACGCTTTAATTGAGTATCATAACAAACATTGGAAAGGCACTCAGACCGCAAATTTGCCAGAGATTGTAATGCATCATTACGACTCATTACAATGTCATCATTTAGATTCGATCCTATTATGTTATTGTTTTCCTCATCAAAAGTCAACTCGTTTAGCCGGGCAACTCGGTAAAGCGGGACAACTCGGCCCATGCAATCAGCCCCTAAATGTATATTCACCGTTAATGTATATTAATAGGAAAAACTAAATACTTTAATAGCAAAAGATTTTAAGTAAGATTTCAACCAATTTGCACCAGAAAGTTTTTTATATGGCATAAAAGTTGTTTGTCAAAGACATAGAAAAAGAAAAGAACATATGTATGAAATGTATCATTTGCGGTTAGTGAAACTTCATTGCATGGTTTAGAAAACAGTTGCTTGCTGCTTGTCTCATCGTAGAAACTAAAAAAAAAACTACTTAATACGTTTCCTACCTGGGTAGTTTCTGATTTGAACTTATTCATTGCCTTGTCAGCTTTATGTTTGTCCTTTCCCTGATGACACCAATATATTTTCTCACCGTTCATGATAAAAGGAACTCCATCAAATCCCAAGCTATGATTGGTTCCACCTGGGGATTCCCAACAAACGTTCTTGTTTGTGAAAGTTACATCTTAAAGTAAAATACGGATTAGAAATAACACTTAGTACAAATGTGTAAATATATGAGATTATAGTAACTTCAGTAATTTCAGTAAAATGGTTTGTACTGTATATGGTCATGGTGATTTCCAGTTTCCGATATCCCCAGGGGGCAGAAACAATGACTTAATCTCCTCAACTACAAACATTTCTAGCCATTTTACTTTTACAGTTCAGTGGAGGCATCGCTTCTATATTTGCTTCAGACTCCAGTTGTTGTACTGGGGCACAGGCAGGGGTACCCTCCCCTACTTTTGGCGAGGACCACAAGTGTGTGCTGGGTAGTTGTTACCATGCTGGCCTGTTAGTACACTGTCCCTGAGAACCTCTCACATTTTTTGGTCACATAATAATAGACATTGCTAAATATTTACCAAACTGATGAGTACTGTCACCCTGGGCATGCAATATGGACTCTAAGATTGCATAAATCCCCCCCCCCCACTACTAGCAACTGAATTGTCCCTTCCTACAAAGTTGGGTTGGTACGGCCAAGGTGGACTTGGCTTCTTAAGAATCTCTTAATACAGGGGTGCATCAAGGAAAAGGGTGGATCTTTTAGGGCTGGATTTCCTGCATTTTCAGACACAAATGTTTTATATACTGCATCTATATATCTATAGATCAAGACTAGACATTCCATCTTCACTGGGGGGGGGGGACTTTCCCCCCTGTTTGTGTTAAGAAGCCCTGACGTTGGACACTTTTTGATGCGCAACCGAAATCTATTTTATATAAATTAATATATAGTGGTAAGGTTGGGGTCAGGGCTGTACACGGGATTTTTTCACCAGGGGAGCAGTAAGGCCTATATGCCGAATAACATCCCACATATCCAAAGAATAATTAATGACATTCTAAAAATCATAAATATAGTTTTCTCTGGGGGGGGGCAGTTGCCCCCTTTGCCCCCCCCCCCCACTGTGTATGGCTCTGGTTCAGGGACGTAGGCCCCACTGTGTATGGCTCTGGTTCAGGGGCGTAGGAAGCTTTTAAAAGTTGGGGGGCCAGGCCTTGAGGGACACTTTTCGAAAAAAAAGGGCATCTAAAAAATTTTTTCCGGGGTAAACGGGAATTCTTCAGGGGTAAAGGGTTTTGAGCTTGGAATTCTTCAGGGGTAAAGTGTTTTGAGCTTGGAATTCTTCAGGGATAAAGTGTTTTGAGCTTGGAATTCTTCAGGGGGAAAGGGTTTTGAGCTTGGAATTCTTCAGGGGTAAAGAGGTTTGACTTTGATATTTTTCAGAGCTTGGAATTCTTCAGGGCTGAAGGGTTTTGAGCTTGGAATTCTTCAGGGGTAAAGAGGTTTGACTTTGATATTTTTCAGAGCTTGGAATTCTTCAGGGCTGAAGGGTTTTGAACTTGGAATTCTTCAGGGGTAAAAGGTTTTGAGCTTGGAATTCTTCAGGGGTAAAAAATTTTGAGCTTGGAATTCTTCAGGGGTAAAAGGTTTTGAGCTTGGAATTCTTCAGGGGTAAAGGATTTTGAGCTTGGAATTTTGGAAATCTTCAGGGGTAAATAGTTTTGAGCTTGGAATTCTTCAGGGGTAAAGGATTTTGAGCTTGTAATTTTGGAATTCTTCAGGGGTAAAGGGTTTTGAGCTTGGAATTCTTCAGGGGTATAACCACGAAAAACATGTATCCTCGACAGGGGGTGTACGGATATTAAATGGAATAGCCCATTTTAATAAACAACTGGCCCCAGGGATATAAAAATATAAAGCAAACTGACCATACCTCTTACATTACTAAAACATGCGTTGCTGCTATAAACAACAAAGCGACTCATCGTTGCCCTTTCATACTCTTCAATCACTTCGTTGACCTCATCAAGTGAATAAACATACCCTTCTTCATGCGAACCCAAACTCCCGGTCTATCGACATCCAGTGATTGCAGTCCCGCCATATTTTAATAAATTAAATTTCCCGCCATATATTACCACACGCGTGTTCCACGATTTCGTATTATTGCGTTCGTGTTGTTATTAAATTCGTGTACTACAGTAGATGCGAAAAAACAGTGCATGCAGGCTGGAAATCTCGGTTTCGTTGGCCCCTTTACGTTAAATTTGTTTGAAAATTTGGACGTAAATATGCTAAAAACTGCTAAGGATATACTGGAGTTTACCCCATCCCCGGACGGAGAAAGTGAATTTTAATACGTCACTGCCAGAGGAAAATTTTATAGCCGTGTTTAAGTGTGAAACCTTATCTGATATTTAGGTTTTGTTAAAGAAGACATTGCCGGATTGCCCATAGGCGTACAAGACAGGGGGCAACTGCCCTCCCCCCCCAAAAAAAACCCCTGGAAAACATCAGCCCTGTATTCCTATAGACATTGTCACATAGATATCCTGCTGATGACCCCTGTAAACTTTAATAGAGAACTTAATTGACTAAATTGAGCTCTAATATAAACTTCATAAACCTCCGCATGGTTCCACATACCTGCAGGAATGCTTAGACTGGTAGGCCCATACTGGCCAATGCTGATAATTGGCAAGTTAATAAGCACAATATATTTGTGAATATTCAATAGCTATCTGTACGGAAGTGAGATCAACTTCCTAGTTCCTACAACAACAACAACAACAACAACAACAACAACAACAACAACAACAACAACAACAACAACAACAACAACAACAACAACAACAACAACAACAACAACAGCAACAACAGCAACAACAGCAACAACAGCAACAGCAACAACAGCAACAACAGCAACAACAGCAACAGCAACAGCAACAGCAACAGCAACAGCAACAGCAACAACAACAACAACAACAACAACAACAACAACAACAACAACAACAACAACAACAACAACAACAACAACAACAACAACAACAACAACAACAACAACAACAACAACAACAACAACAACAACAACAACGACAACAACAACAACAACGACAACAACAACAACAACAACAACAACAACAACAACAACAACAACAACAACAACAACAACAACAACAACAACAACAACAACAACAACAGCAACAACAAGAAAGATTTATTTTTACTCAAAATAAATATTTACATTTTGAATTATATATCAGAAAAAAATATTTAAGAAGAGTACCTGCTACCTGTAATAACCATAATGGCTAATAAGATCAGGCAGCACACTCATGCAGAATTTAATAACACCAAGACAACAGAAGAATCATTCCCCAAGAAAGTACTAGAGATGATGTCTGGAATTATAGAAGAATAGTATGGCTCTGTATTGTATCACACGCTTTGAAAAAGCATATTTTGATTGATGAGATCTTCATATTATACACCAGCCATGCTGCTCCATACCAAATCCTCTAAAGATCTCGATACAGAATATTGATTTAAAGATAATTTATTCAGTACAGTTATGAGCAATGCTTTGGCAAATATATATACCTTGATATAAGTACAGAATCTGAACTTTGTACAAAAATTTGAAAACAATATGCCACACAACATTAACCCGGGCCATTGAGTGGCAGCATTTTCCCCTTGACGAGTAAAATCATCTGGCATGAGACAGAGTAAAATAATAAAGTAGGTGTATCACAGTGACATAGTTAAGGTATCTAGTCAAGAGGGCCCATAGTTAGGGTTTCTAATCAATTTTTTCCCCTGTGCTAGCTCGAATATGGTTTGCTTACTAATGTGAAGATGCATTAAATATTTTGCACTCCTAGGCTGCCATGAATAAGATAGTACAATGAAAATTTAGCGTAAATCGTGAGGGGGGAAAATGCTGTTTATCGTTTCAGAACACTTTTCAAAGATTTGCAGTTAAAATACCAAAATGTTACTTATTATTACTGTTAAAATATCAAATTTTTTACAGTTTACTGATTTTCAGACCCCACCCCCCCATCTAAACCCTCCTGTTCAGAATTTTTCCAAGGGGGGGGGGGGCATGAGCATTTGAGCTTGACCTTATGATACAGGATTTTAGTTAAGCACTATGATATATTTGAAGCTAATTTGAATAATTGAAGTCACCAGCCATTTGTACTATTTATCTGATACAATACTACATGTTTGACTGGATTATTTAAGTTGATGTTGTTGACATTTTAATCGTAAAAATGTACACAGTTCGGCAGCTGTTCGCAGAGAATATAATATTTCAGATTCTGTACCGCAAGATACATACCTTTTGCGTATTAAACATTGATTACCGTTGCAATTTACAGAGAAACTGGAGGAAAAACCATATAAAATATCTTTATATCAACATTCAGTTGTGCGAATGTTTGGAAATTTTTCACTAAGTGAGTTGTTCTCGCGTGTACCACGAACACGAGATAAACACGCAACTAGACCCAGACCTCTCACGGTCACCTACCTCTCGTCCATGCCCTTTAGCCATAACCGGGAGCAAACTGCATAGCAACCGGCCATCGTGATT